ACCCCAAAGACAAGGTCAAACTGTGCTCAGACTAGAGCTTGGATCTAGCCCAAAGACAAGGTCAAACTGTGCTCAGACTAGAGCGTAGATCTAGCCCAAAGACAAGGTCAAACTGTGCTCAGACTAGAGCGTAGATCTAGCCCAAAGACAAGGTCAAACTGTGCTCAGACTAGAGCTTAGATCTACCCCAAAGACAAGGTCAAACTGTGCTCAGACTAGAGCTTGGATCTACCCCAAAGACAAGGTCAAACTGTGCTCAGACTAGAGCTTGGATCTACCCCAAAGACAAGGTCAAACTGTGCTCAGACTAGAGCTTAGATCTACCCCAAAGACAAGGTCAAACTGTGCTCAGACTAGAGCTTAGATCTACCCCAAAGACAAGGTCAAACTGTGCTCAGACTAGAGCTTAGATCTACCCCAAAGACAAGGTCAAACTGTGCTCAGACTAGAGCTTGGATCTAGCCCAGAGTGTTGAGGCCACCGTGCGGCACTGCCACAAGAGAGAGCATTTTTTGTCAAGTCATGATGAGGGAAACATGTATATACAGGAGGAGGAGGAGGAGGAGGAGGAGGAGGAGGGGGGGGAGGTTTGAAGTCACGTGATGACATGCTGACTGAAAACACTTTGCCTTCTTACTATTTGGGGGGGAAGGGGGGTCAGGAGGGTTAAACGTTATGTGAACAATTATTGCTGACTGAAAAGACCCTCACTACTTACTACTGAAAAAATTGGGGGCAGGGGGGGGTGGGAGGGTTACTCGTCGTGTGGTTAAATACTGAGTGAAAAGAGCCTCCCTACTTAATATTATGTTTCAGTGCTTTCATACACACACACACACACACACACACACACACACACACAAACACACACACACACACACACAGACAACCTACCAGTAACACTAACAGTCACCGGATCGCTCGCACTTGTCCCCACAGCGTTCTCAGCAGCGCACACATACTGGCCACTATCGGAACTGGACGCAGAGCGGATGAGCAGAGTTGGGTCGGCCAGCGTGCCCCCTGAGTACTTGCTGGGGTCAACGGTTGACCCCACCGACCCGACCCCCGAGAGAGTCCAGGAGAAGGAGGTGGGGGCGGGGTTGGCGGACACGATGCACGTGAGCTGGATCACGCCTCCGATGCTTCGCTCTATAGGGATGGTGCTCACCGTCAGCTTGGGTTTGTCTGAGGAGGAAGATGGGGAAACTGTTGTGTGTGTGGAAAAATAAACTCCAAAAAAAAACCAAAAAAAAACAACAACCCATGGATTAAAAAGAAGTTTTAGTAGCGCCAAAAACGCAAGGATAAAAAAGTGTTTAGTAGAGGTTTTACGGCGTTCGAAACTGCATAAGATCATAATATGAGCGCCAGAAGATTAGAGGTGTTACAAGATAGTAACAAACATAAAAAAGAAGAAGGGGAGATAAGGACGATAGATGTCTGAGGAGAACGATGGGCAAACTGTTGAGTCAAAACTAAACAGCAACAACAACAACAAAAGCAACAACAAAAACTAAACAAAAAGACCCCCCAACCCCCCCCCCCCCCCCCCTCGTAGAATAGAAAAGTGTAGTGTTAAGTGAGAGACAGATAGAAAACTGGTATGAAATCAAGGGCGTGATACAATGTGAAGTGAAGGGCATGATGATGAATAAATGCAGTATGTAATGAGGTATGGTGGGAAAAGGGAAAAAATCATAATGTTAAATACAGAGGCAGGATAGAAAACTTTAATGGGAAATGAGGGGTATGATGGGGAAAAGAGTGTAAAGCGAATTCAATGGTGTGATATAAAAATATAATGTGAAATGAAAGGTATGATGATGGAAAAATGTAGTGTGAATTGAGGGGTATGATGGGAAAATGGAATTCTATAGTGTGAAAGAAAATCGCAGGACAGAAAATAAATGTCGTTTGAAGTGAAGGATATGGTGGGAAACTGTAGAGTGAAATGAATAGACAGATAGAAACAACCACCACCACCACCAGCAACACGCCACAGCAGACTACCGACCAACCAACCAAACAAACAAACCGCTCACAAGTGACGGCCTACCCAGCGTGTTTGGGACCACACAACTGTACAACTCAACAAACAAACAGACAAAAAGCATTCAAACAAATAAACAAACAAACATCCCAACAAACAAACATCTTAACAAACAAAAAAAACAAACCAACTCACAAGTGACGTCTACAGTGACGGCACTCCCAGAGCGCGTGCACAATGTATTGGTAGCCACACAGCTGTACACCCCAAAAAACCAACAGCAAGCACCCGAACAACCCAACAAACAAACAAACAAACACACACACCAAGTGGTTGGTGTGTGCTCTGATGTGGTTTGCTCCTTCTTTCCTATCAAACATCTATCATCCTTATCTCTCCTCTTTCTTTCTTTTTTTGTTGTTGGGTATATTACTCTCTTGTAACATATCTATTATTCGACACGTATATTATTATGTCCTTATTGTGTTACAAGTGCCATAACATTGTTACTAAAACTAGAAACACACACACAAACCAACAAACAACCAAACCAACTCACAAGTGACGTCTACAGTAACAGCACCCCCAGAGCGGGTGCCGAACGTAAATTGGTAGCCACACAACTGCACACTCCAACACACAAACAAACAAACACCCATACAACCCAATAAACAAACACCTTTACAACCCAACAAACAAAACAAACAGACACCCTTACAAACAAACAAATTAAACCACTCACAAGTGACGTCTGCAGTAACAGGACCCCCAGAGCGCGTGCTGAAAGTATTGGTAGCCACACAGCTGTACACTCCGGCCCCCGTCACCGGCACACTCAAGCACACAAACAAACTAACACCGTTATAACCTAACAAACACACACACACACACAAACAAACCACTCACAAGTGACAGCTACAGTAACAGGACCCCCAGAGCGCGTGCCAAAAGTGTTAGTAGCCACACAGCTGTACACTCCGGCCCCCGTCACCGGCACCGACAGCAGGGTCAAGGTCGGGGTCACCAGCGTACCGCCCCGGTACCTGCTCGCGTCACTCGTGTCCAGTATTTGTCCATCTGTCACAGACAAATAAGGTAAGATAAGATAAGATAAGATAAAATAAAATAAGATAGATAGATAGATAAATAATATAAGAGAAGATATGATAAGATAAGATAAAATAAGATAGATAAATAAATAATATAAGAGAACATACGATAAGATAAGATAAGATCAGATAGGATAAGAAAAGATAAGATGAGATTATATAAGATAAGATAAATAAGATACGATAAATAAGATAAGGTAAGATAAGATGCACCTTTATTGTCCAGATCCTGCCCCCTGGTTTGGTTTCTTTTTTCTTCATTTTTTCTGGTCTTTGTTATCTTGTGGTGTCGAGGGGAACTAGAAGCAAACGTCTTTTTTTTCTTTTTTCTTAAACCACCTGCTGCATGGTTTTGTTTTTCCTGAATACTGTTTCTCTGACCCCCTCTCCCTTTGTTTTCATGTAAATTCTTTACTAACCAGTTGTATTAAAATATGCAAATTTTGCCCTAGCCAGTTGCATTATATGTTAAATTCTGCTCTAGCCAGTTACATTACATGTAAAGTCTGCACTTGGCAGTTATATGTACATTCTTCACTTGGCAGTTATATGTAAATTCTGCTCTTGGCAGTTATATGTAAATTCTGCTCTTGGCAGTTATATGTAAATTTTGCACTTGGCAGTTATATGTAAATTCTGTACTTGGCAGTTATATGTAAATTCTGCACTTGGCAGTTATATGTAAATTCTGCACTTGGCAGTTATATATATATGTAAATTCTGCACTTGGCAGTTATATGTGGTCGCTTTTAAGGACAAGCGGGCTAACCCATATTTTGGGGGGTTTCCAGAAATCTTGACCTACACCAAAAGTGGGCATTGCCCTTCGTGTATATGTGTTTGGTTAGAGAAAAAAACTCTCTTTGTCTTTTGAAGAAAATGAACAAGGGTCCAAAAACTTTGCTTTCGATTTTCTCAAAACAGCATTTTTCGGGATGGCCACCTTGTGTTTTAGAGCGACCATGTAAATTCTGCAACTACTTGTTAGTTGTTATGGTGCAATTTCCACACTAAGCAGCTGTATTATTTTTGCACCCCCCCCCCCTCCCAACCAAACCCCCAAGCAAAGAATACTCTAAGGCAGTGGTCTTCAAACTTTTTTTAGCCCGAGCGCCCCCTACTCCGCCCCAACCATCTATCTGACATAACGACATGCATAATATAATAACAATCACAAATAAAGAGAGAGCTCAAAAAGTAGGGTACAAAGTAAAGTGCTTAAATTCTAATGATTTGGTTCTGAATATTAGTTGGGTCACAAATCACCATCATTACAGTCTTAAATTAAGCGTGTACGAGAGATAATAGAACACATTTTTTTCTTCAATGTTATGCAAGGGCACTAAGAACAAAATACTGTCATTTTAATATGCATATGTGCCATCGGTATTAAACGACCAGTGTTGTTAACATTAATAAAAATAAAACATGTATTATGACATTTACAGAAGCAAACCCCCCCCCAAAAAAAAACAAAAAAAAACAAAACAAAACAAAAACAAAATAACAACAACAACAATGATCATTAGTTTGAAAACAGATTGACATAATTTTTAAGAAACATTTTCTCCAATCAAGGTGCTGCAATAAAGTTGCCTGAGATTTGTATATCAAATATCTCCATTGTAGAACTTAAAAATATTATTAAGCTGTTCAAATGTGAGAAACCACACGAAAGAAAAAGTATGCATGGATCTTAGTCTGTAATTATCTCCATCATCGTAATCATCGCCGTCATCATCTTCAGTTTCATCAGCAGTGGCAGCACATGCACATGCACATAACAAACTCTATTGAACAAGTGAGTATTTTGCTTTAGAAAAAGAAGAAAGAAAAGCAAAAAAAGAAAAGATGTATTTAGGTATCAAGTAAGGATAAACTACGGAGTAAGCATATACAAATAAGTCATTGACACTGCCTTAATGGGAAGTACGGACCTGGTGAGACGAAACCAACTTATCAACATCAGGTTTCAGATTGGTCAGTAGCAGACGCTAATTGCCACGCTCTGTGATCCTTAGTTTTTTCCTCTGCTTCGTCAGCAACCTTGTCACTGCACAGAATCCCCTTTGTACTAGACAGGAGGTGAGAAAAGCGATGAACAACTTGATATTTTCCCACTGGGAGGGATATTTGTCTTGCGCAATAGTTTTCAACCAGAATGACTGGTACGACTTTTTGAACTATGGTTTGATTTCAAAGTCACTTTTCGCTGTCAGCTCTTCTTCAATCGCCACTGTCAAGTCACCATCTGTTCCAGTATTGAGTGGGTCCAGTACCCAGTCTGGAATTTCCAGTTAAAAGATATCAGTAAACCTTGTCTTCTCGATCATATCAGCATGCAAATCTCTGAGGTGGTTGGTATATATTTCTAGTTCCTCGTCAGAAACCCGCCCTTCTCTCAGTGTCTCTGTCAAGCTAGGAAACTGAGCACATTCTCTTCTGCCAATGTTTCGGTGAAAGATTTCCAGTTTCGAAAAGAATGACGAAAGCATGGATTTTACCTTGATCAGGTTGGTGTCATCCCCCGGCAGCTGCAAGTTGAACTGGTTGAGCTTTGTGAAAAGATCTGTGAGGAACAAAATGTTGTTCTTGCGTTCTTTCAGTTTATTGCCGAGATCACTGTCTGTTTCTTGAAAAAAGCTCCAGCACAGAGTCAAACAGGCAGAACAATAATCGTGTTAAACAGTTTCCTCTTGAGAGCCACCGGACTTCAGCGTGCAAAAGAAACAATTGAAGGTTCTCGTCATTTTCAGTGCACAGCTGTCGGAATAATCTCGAGTTCAAAGCGTGGACGTTGATCTTGTTCACACCCTTGATGGCAATGGCCAGTGTGTCATGCAGACTTTCATTCAGGTTTTTTGCCACCAAATTCTGTCTGTGAATGACACAGCGAACAGTTAGTACTCCAGGAACTGATTTCTTCAAGAAGTTCATAAATCCACAGTACCGACAAGTCATCGACGGTGCTCCATTTGTTGCACAGGCAACTATATTGGCCACAGGAATCTGTTTCTCCTCGAAAAATTCTTGGATCACTTTGGTATATGTTTCCAACATTTTCGCATATTATAACAATTCTTGCATCATTTACTCTATGAACCGATATCCAGTTGAAGGCTGAGCTCACGTCCTTTAAGCATTTTGCACAATGATTCCTTAACATTTGCTGACATCTCATCAATACGTTTTTGAACGGTATTGTCACTTAGTGGCAAGAACTTTCAACACAGGCACCGGGGCAGGGGGCAGGACTGTCCTAACACCTCTCTTATCACAGGTAATATGAGGTCCTCACCGAGAGTACGTGGTTTGCCTGCCTTTGCAATTAGCAGAGATAAATTATAAGTTGCTCGTAAGGCTTCATCAGCTTGACCGACGTCGGCTGCAAACATCAATTTAATTGATTTTTATTTTTGAAAATTGATCTTTGTCAGATTTGCAGGGATGAATCATCTTTATATATGGGCTTTGAGTGCTGGGAAAGAAAGTTCTTAGTAATAAGTAGTATTGTAAACTATGCCTTAGTTATCAATTTTTGTTTTTGTTTTTTATGTGCTTTCTTTCCCTTCACCTTTTTTTGTTGCCTTTCATGAAAATTTCACACCGCCCCCTTAACGCCCACCACCGCCCCCCAATCGCCCAATTTCGCCACAGCGTCCCCCAAACTGTCGCCCACTTTGAAAACCACTGCTCTAAGGTATCGAATTTTTAAAAAAAAAGGGGGGGGGGGGGGTTGGAATAAAAAGGGGAAGGGTAGCACATTCAACCTCATAACCCTGTACTAGTAGGAACAAATCTCTTTTATTTCTTCTTCAGTGAATAAAAGAACAACAGATCATGAAATGTTAGTGATTTTAGTACGTTACTGTGACAACTTTTCCGATTTAGGAACAAACCAGTTTCATTAAAAAAAAACCAAACCAATGTACAAAATTTTTAAAAATGCACAGACAATTGAAGGAGCCAACCCGGTACCGGTACTAATACTGAAGGTAATTTGCCATTTACAACAAAAAAAGCGACAAAAAAGTTTCATTCAGATATCTAGATTCTAGATATTTATTATGTTTCACTTGATCGTCGGTCGCGGCCAGCTGGAAAACATTTTTTTAAAAAGGGGGGTGGGGTATGGAATAATAAAGAGCGGGTTGGGGGGAGGGGGTGCGCAAAAAAACCCCGAAAATGAATAAGGGGGGCGCTTATTCGATACCTTAGAGTAGTGTGGCGCCGGTGCCCTAGCGATTAGGGTACCGGACTCGTAATCGTGAGGTTGCGGGGTCGGGGGTTCGAGCCGCGGGCCCGACTTTGCGTCCTTGGAAAAGGCACTTTACACGAATGTTCCTCACTTCATCCAGGTGGAAATGGGTACCCGGCCATAGACAGCGAAAGATCTTGTCAGTATGTAGTGTTTTAGCGCCTATAAATGGCTGCTTGCACTGTATGCTTCACAGGAAGTTGAGTTTGTTTCCAAATGCTCTCAGGTCTGCTGGGGTAACAGTATAGATTGTGAAACGCATAGAGCTTGCTGTTGAGCGGGGATTTGCGCTATACAAATGCTGTCTATTATTATTATTATTATTATTATTATTATTATTATTATTAGCCTGACAACTAGCTCACCTTTTGTCCAGTATAGATCGGTGAGTGAGTCCAGCGGCTCCACGACACAGCTCAGGTCCGTGGACTGACCCTCAGCCACGATGACGTCATCGCTGGGGGTTGTGACGGTCGGCTCGGCTGTGGGGGAAGTAGACATTGTCAGATTGGCCAGTTTATTAGGTCGTGTTGACAGATTGGTCAGTTAGTTTATTAAGTGTTAACAGAATGGTCAGTTCTTTTTAGGTGTTCTGAGATTCGTCAATTTAGTAGCTGTTCAGAGATGGGTCAGTTTATTAGGTGTTTACAGATTGGTCAGTTTAGTAGACATTGCCAGATTCGTCAGTTCGTAAGGTGAAAACGATCAGGACAGCTTGGTCAATTTGTTAAATGCAAAGATGAGATTGGACGGAATGCTCAATGATTTCAGACTGTTTAGATTCGTAGTATTAGATCAGCTCAGTTGTAGTAGCGGTCTTAAGGATTCCTCTCATCTCATCTCTTCTCATCTCATTTTAGTGATTGTAATTTTATATGTATGTTCTTTGTCGTAATACGGGTGTGCGTATTTGAAAGGGTTATTGTACGTTGAATGGGCCCGTTCTTATGAAACATCAATTTAAATCTTGCATTTATGTTGAAGTGCCTGGAGCCTCCTTGGAATAGCCACTATAGAAATGATCTTCTTCTTCTTCTTCTTCTTCTCCTTCTCCTTCTCCTTTTTCTTCTTCTTCTTCTTCTTCTTCTTCTTCTTTTTCTTCTTCTTCGTCTTCTTCTTCTTCTTCTTTTTCTTCTTCTTGTTTTTGTTGTTCTTGTTCTTGTTCTTATTTTTGTTCTTCTTCTTCTATTTATTATCATTATCATTACCATTATTATTATCATTACACCCCACCACCTACCGTAAACATTGAGCTGTGTGGCCGGGCCAGAAGTCTGACCCACGGCGTTGGTTGCCTGGCAACGGTACAACCCGGAGTCGGTGGGGGTCACCGTGAAGATGGTCAGGTCCGTCTGGGTCAGAGAGCCGCCTAGGTACCGGCCCGGGTTGACCTCTGGCTGGACGCTGACCCCGTCCTTGACCCATTGGAAGCTGGTGAGTGCGGGGGATGAGCTGACCGCGCACCGTAGAGTGACCGTGCTGAAGGTCCGAACGACGACCTGGGCTTCGGAGCTAGACACGATCTCTGGTCGGTCTGTGGAGGAGAGGAAGGGGGGGGGAGTGAGTGCAAGTTGCAGGTGAATCTGTTCAAAACGGTCACCCCTGTCGTTTATAAGAATATGGTTGTATTAGACAAGTGGGCGTTTAGACAGTTAGTTGTTTTAGTAGAGGTTTTACGGCGCTCGTAACTGCATAATGTCATATGAGCGCCAGAAGATTAGAGGTGTTACAAGAGAATAACAAACTTAAAAAAGAAGAAGGGGGGAGAAGGACGATAGATGTTTGATAGGAAAGAAGAAGCAAACCACACCAGAGCACCCGCCAACCACTCACTGGGTTTGAGTAAAGAGAAGCACATGGACACAATAAAGGTCATTTAGTATAGGGAAGAAGCAAAACAGACAGATATATAGAGGGAAAGAAAAGAAATGGTGCTCTCCAATCACCTGCCTGATATACAAAAAACCCCCCGACAAATTTGTGTACAAGTAATTGTTTTGGACAGGTACCGGTCACTAGAGCAGGGTCGACTATAAAAGGAGTAAAAGTTTACTTGAGTCCCTTCATTTGGAGCTAAATTGACCTGCTACTCAGATCTAGGGATCCCCACTCTCTGTTGGGCCACTTCTGGGTTGCCGAAAAGTCTTAGGGAAAGGAAACTTTTGAGTTATGGTCAGACACAAAAAAGGTGGGGTG